AAGTTATTTTGTCCAGGTGCTCCGCTGATTATCTGGGATTTAGAAAGGAAAGCGTTCCTACAGCTTGGAATCGCTTTATCTGCCGTAATAGGTTTATTTGCAGTTTTGTTGAACATTTTGGTGATCTTAGCAATCAAGAAAACGAGAGAATTGCAGACAAACTCTGTCATTTTAGTCACCAGTTTGGCAGTCGTAGATCTCATAGTGGGTGCGGTTTCTGCCCCATTTAACATCACTTTAGATGCGTTAATTCTTCGAGGAACTATATCGGTGGGCATGATCTGTGTGATAGCTAAACTTACCAAATTTGTTTCGAGCACTACTTACCGTGCTTCGTACTATCACGTAATTCTGTTCAGTTGGGAGAGGTATGTTGCGATTGTAAAGCCTATGAAGTACAAGGCTATAGTAACCGAGAAACGCTTAACGATATTAGCGGTAATCGCCTGGATGACAGCCCTTACAACATCGGTCTTATTTCTCGCATTAGAAGCTACTGCGGTTTCCAGAATGGTACTTCGTGTTATATTTGCTATTGTCCAGTTACTCGCCTTTACCCTTATGGTGTATTTTTATTCCATGGTTTATATCGGAATACGAAAACGGAACCGAAGCCAATTCAGCCACGTCAATGCTCTGATCAAAGCGAGGATGGAACGTAAAACGGCTTTGACGGTGTTTCTGCTAACAATTGCCATTTTAATCGCTATCGTTCCTTTAGGGGTTGCACACGTCTTAACGCAACGTTCCTCTTTTTTTCGTGAAATTTCAGTTTTGCGATGGGCAGAAACTTTCCTCCGGTTAAACTCCATTGTAAATCCAGCGCTGTATTTTTATAGAAACAGGAAATATAGGGAAGCTGCTCTTAGACTGCTAAGTAAGCCACGGGAAATTCAGCCAGCGGTTCACGTGGGTCTTCGTAAAAGACGCCAGCGATATTCTTCCGCGTTTGTAAATGTGAAAGAGCTTGTCTACATAGAAAGAGGTCAACGCCTCACACGGTCACAGTCCTGGACAGCGGACACACACATGGTCACTGGAACACCGACTGTGTCTCGAGAACCATTGGTCGCAACAATGAACAGAAGAATGTCATGTCCACCCTTAACAAGGCATGAAAACCTTCGTGAAGTGATTCAACCTTTCACTCAAACTGTTAAGGTGCAGATTGAACTTCCACCTACAAAGAAATAAGCAAAGAGGAAGAAAAAGTTATCGTGTGTTTGTAAAGGAAATCAGAAGTCACAACACACAAGATCAAAAACTTGGGAAGAATACTCATATCTAGTGTTAGAATTTGTGGGCGTGACCAAGCGTGACTACACTAGACGTGACTACACTAGGCGTGACTACACTAGGCGTGACTACACTAGGCGTGACTACACTAGGCGTGACACACTGATGTACGCGCGCACAGCCTTATTGGCTTTGTGACTTCGTGCTTCTGTTTTTCGAAAGAAATCCTCGCTTGTGTTGTGTTTGTAAATACAGTCCCGAGTTGTACGATTAAAATGTTCATATTGGAACCTTGAGTGGACCTAAAATACTTTCCAATATCTTATACTTAAAGACACTCGTCACAAATCGCCCCAGGCTACCTCTCAAAGACACAATTCAGCGCCAACAGTTCCAGCGATGAATTATGTTACTTAACCCTTCACAGGCTAACATCAGTTTTCATATTCTCCATACTGTTCTCTGTACATTTACTGAGGTGCTGACAAGGAGAATTTGTTAAACAATCAAGAGTTTCTTTAGATGGTGATCATTTCCTTTATTCTCATGACATTAATGTGTGATTCAGTGGTGATATTGTAAGGAGAAATTAGATCTTCGACAGCCTCACCTGAGTATTCTTCTTCTCCGCACTGTTCTCTTTAGATGTTTATGACGAGGAGAATTATTTGATAATCAGGAGCTTCTCGAATTTGGTGATCATTTTCTTTCCTCTCATCACCTTTTCATTTGATTGAGTGTCGTATAATCGAAATTTTAGTTTTTTGCAGCATTCCATCAGAACACGAAGAATTATCACAAGTAGCCAATAAGATCTTAAAGTGAAACAAAGCAAAATACTTGAAGCGCGGGAAAATGTGCATCACCAGGTGGTGATTAGATTCAGTCTTCTTTCTGGTTGGTTGAGATCAAGTCGTTAGTTCCCCCACCAATCACAAAGCAAAGCAAAGGAAAATCAATGTAAGCCCGAATTACTTGCAATATTCAATCGAAAGCACGCTTGAAGGACCGTCAATAACGAGAAGGTTGTCACTAAAACGGGAAACAAGAAATGGAGAATAGCGAGTCGGAAAATCAAATGGGAAATTAAGATTGGAAAAGTCGTTTTTTTACATCAGTTGTTTACAATGCGGAATAAATATTTTTCAGAGATAATTATCGATATTCTTTTTTGTTAACGTTTACGGCAAAAAGAAAGTGACAGAAAAAGAAAGAGGTTACACAGGATGTACATTTTCTCGTGGCTCGTATTTTATTTGCTTCTGCGGGGCACTGGAAAACGCAACTCGCAAAATATTCACCATATTACTTGCTAAACCATCGCATGAGGTACATACATCGCAAATCAGTCTATTGAAAAAAGAATAAAGGGGTAAGTTTCTAAAGAAACTGTGGTTCTGCGTCTGTGGGAGAGTATAGCAGGTAATTTAGTGTTAACAACTGGGTTGAAAACGTAAATTAATACGTAACAAGTCCCTTATTAATATGACCCGCATGTGGCGCACACTAGATCTTGAGATATCTCAGACACCCATGCCAGAGGAGTATAGGGAGTTCTATGTACTGGTAAGATGCTTTTGTTAATCTACCGCCTGCCTTTTAACTATTTAAGCCCCCAGTTCTGATTGTTACATGTAGTTCTTCCCTTAAGCTGCTACACATTTCCTTATCAATTAGTTATGAGAAGCTGGTCTTAAATCAAGATAATAACTTCTACATATACCTGATAAGTTTGAATATTCTCATTTCCTGTTTGGTGGATAAAGTATGGATATCATTAGGAGAAGTTTCATTTTAGTCACTTCTGGGAGTTGGCAAGTTACTGGTAATGAATATGATTTTTAGTGATATTGAGACATTTATTTTAGACCTACATGTTGGTCTTACTAAAAAACTTGCCAGTGGTGATGTAACAGTCATTAAGAGGTGTAATTTCTCCTCACAATATCTCCCCTGAATCACTCATTAAGTAATGGGTTAAGTACAGGATGACCATAGAGTTTTGCGTGGGTTTGGAACATTACATAGTTGAACCTTGATTATCCAGAATCCTCAGGGACTGGACAGAATAGTGTGGATAATTTAGAGTCTGGATAATCAAAAATATGAATATTGATGAGCCAAAAATAAAACTGACCAACTGAAAAGAAACTACATGTAGATCACTTAATTATTATCATGCAAGAATTAAAGCATATTCTCAATTTTTTGTCTATTAACTTTATTTTGCTAAAAGTATTAACAAAAAAATTATCAACCATTTAGCCCCTAAGAGTGACTAGCATCTAATTTCTCCCCACTATATCCTCCCTGAATCAAACATGAAAGTTATGAGAATAGAGGAGATGATCACCAACTAAATAACTTGTAAAAAGAGATATTCCATCAGTCCGCTCATACACACCATCTGAGGCGGCTCTCGATCGTTAAACAAGTTCTCTTCGTCAGCAGAATCAGAAATGTACAGAGAACAGTATGGAGAATATGCATATGCATATCAAAGGGTTAAGGCAAACTTTTGCTCTAAATGTTATTTCTGCGTGTTCCGTTACTGCCTCTTTCTCATTAGATATTGCATTAAGTGCCATTTCGTTTTTCTTTACAATAGTCAACAAACATTTATTTTTTGGAGACTACTTAGTCATTTTGGCCGCCAAAAGGCGAAATGTTCAGTATATTGGATACAAGTGCGTAACCTCTATTGGTCGTGGATACTCGTTTTTAATCTGCGCTCTCATTGGCTCTTTGAGGTAACTTCCCCTCTCATTGGCTGATGTTACTACCTGGTTTTGGTGTTACGACATTCAATTGAAAAGTGCGTCAAAGAGATCCTTGTTTCCGAATCGTTCTGGAAATGAAATGATTGCTTAGGGTTATTTTACTAAAGGAGAGCAGTAACCGTCCCTTTTTCTTTATGGAAATAGAATTAAGAAGTTTCACATAATCTGTAATTTAACAGCAACAAAAGTAAGGCAGACGAAGTCCATCGCACTTCCCGATGGGCTTAAACTATATCGCGCTCGCTAATATACGAGAGAATCAACCCTTTTTTTACCTTGCTGCTTTTTTTCTTTGGTTTACCATCATAAATTATCTTATGAGATTACAAGCCATTTTATATTTTCGTAGGACGCTTTTTTCTAATGTGCATTCTCGAATTGCTGATAAACCATTTTTCAAATACGAATAAAACGAAAAACTCGTTCTGAAAGAAAACGATTTCTCACCGTTGCCTCAATACAAAGACATTTCTGTGAAGATTTCTTCGGTCAACATGTGTGATTTTTTTAACTAAAATAAGGCTCCTCAAAGAAAAATTTGCGTTTTCAAATTGCTGATAAACCATTTTTCAAACACGAATAAAACAAAAAATCTCGTTCTGAAAGCCTGAAGAAATGATTTCTCACCGCTGCCTTAATACAAAGACATCTCTGTGAAGATTTCATCGGTCAATTTGTGATTTTTCTCACAGAAATCAGGCTCCTCAAAGGAAAATGTGCATTTTCAAATGAGAATAAAAACAAATAAACAAAAAAAAAACTCGCGCTGAAAGCCTAAGGAAATGATTTCTCGCCGCTGCATTAATACAAAGACATCTCTGTGAAGATTTCATTGCTAAACATCCGCGATTTTACTTAAGCGGAAATAACGGTCCCTTAAAAGGAAAATGATAAAGAATGATTACATAAGCTTCAAGTTCTTTGATTCGGATTATTGGAGGGTAAACCGAGCCATATTGATCACTTGACTGATCATAGGTCGACATGAATGTGAGTATGTCTGAAGATTTCCTTGTCAACTCTTCCCGGTCAAAGTTCTTTTGTCCAGGTGCTCCGCTGATTATCTGGGATTTAGAAAGGAAAGTGTTCATACAGCTTGGAATCGCTATATCTGCCACCATAGGTTCATTTGCACTTTTGTTGAACATTTTGGTGATCTCAACAATCAAGAAAACGAGAGAATTGCAGACAAACTCTATCATTTTAATCACCAGTTTGGCAGTCGCAGATCTCTTAGTGGGTGCGGTTTCTGCCCCATTTAACATCACTGTAGATGCGTTGATTCTTCGAGGAACTGTATCGGTGGGCATGATTTGTTTGATAGCTAAATTTACCAAATTTGTTTCGAGTTCTGCTTACCGTGCCTCGTACTATCATGTAGTTCTGTTCAGTTGGGAGAGGTATGTTGCGATTGTAAAGCCTATGAAGTACAAGGCTATAGTAACCGAGAAACGCTTAACGAGATTAGCGATAATCGCTTGGATGACAGCCCTTACACCATCGGTCTTATTTCTTGCATTAGAAGCCACTGCGGTTTCCAAAATGGTACCTCGTGTTATATTTTCCATTGTCCAGTTACTCGCCTTTACCCTTATGGTGTATTTTTATTCCATGGTTTATATCGGAATACGAAAATGGAACCGAAGCCAATTCAGCCACGTCAATGCTCTAATCAAAGCGAGGATGGAAAGTAAAACGGCTTTGACGGTGTTTCTGCTAACAATTGCCATTTTAATCGCTATCGTTCCTTTAGGGGTTGCACACGTCTTAGCGCAACGTTCCCTTTTTTTTCGTAAAATTTCAGTTTTGCGATGGGCGGAAACTTTCCTCCTGTTAAACTCCATTGTAAATCCTGCGCTGTATTTTTATAGAAACAGGAAATACAGGAAAGCTGCTCTTAATCTGCTAAGTAAGCCACGGGAAATTCAGCCAGAGGTTCACGTGGGTCTTCGTAAAAGACGCCAGCGATATTCCTCCGCGTTTGTAAATGTTAAAGAGCTTGTCCACATAGAAAGAGGTCAACGCCTCACACGGTCACATTCCTGGACAGCGGACACACACATGGTCGCTGGAACACCGACCGTATCTCGAGAACCAGTGGTCGCAACAATTAATAGAAGAATGTCATGTCCACCCTTAATAAGTTATGAAAACCTTCGTGAAGTGATTCAACCTTTAACTCGAACTTTCAAGGTGCAGATTGAACTTCCACCTACAAAGAAATAAGCAAAGAGGAAAGAGAAATTATCGTGTGTTTGTAAAGGAAATAAGAAGTCACAACACACAAGATCAAAAACTTGGGAAGAATAGTTACATCTTGTGTTAGAATTTGTGAGCGTGACTAGGCGTGACTACACTACGCGTGACGTACTGATGTACGTGCGCATAGCCTTATGGGCTGTGCAACTTCGTGCTTCCTCGCTTGTGTTGTGTTTGTAAGTACAGTCCCGAGTTGTAAGATTAAAATGTTCATATTGTAACCTTGAGTGAACCTAAAATACTTTCCAATATCTTATACCTAAAGAAACCTGTTACAAATCGCCTCAGGCTACCTCTCAAAGACGCAATTCAGCGCCAACATCTCTGTGAACATTATATCGGTCAACATCTGTAATTTTTGTCAACAGAAGTAAGGAACTTCAAAGGAAAGCCAAAGAAATATTTATTAGCCTTGGTCTTCTTTTACTTCAAACTAGGCTTCACGAGTGATTGATGTTTGTCACTAGAATTTGAGTATCTCAGAAGAATTGCTTATAAACTCTTTCCGATTAAAACCATTTTGTACTCTACATGTACTCCACTGTTCGTGTGGCGGGTGCAATTTTGTAATCTTTGAAAATTATAAGTGTTTATTAACACCAATGCCCCTATTCCCCTACCTTTTTCGCTGAAGGTTATGCGTTACCGTGACTAGTGTACGTTAGTCCTGCAAAGCTTCTAAAATGAACGATATTAGTCTAATTATCGTTTTTTTGAAAAGAGATGAGCGTACGCTTTACGGTGAGTAAATACTTAAACGGATCGATGTTGTTTAAGAAAACCATCGTCAACCCAAAAGGCGTTTTTAAGTTGAGGTAATGGACTGAGAAAAAAAAATTATGATAGGGATCGGTATTAGCCGGTATAATCTGTCGGGATTACTGAATCAGGAGAAAGCTTTAGTCGGGATCGCGGGATTGAAGAACCTTTTTGAGGACCCCCCTATGAATTTAGTTATGCCAGTTATCGTACAAACAATGTCCTCCGATACAGTTCCTCGAATAATTACTGATCACATCCAAACTGAGGTCAATGAAGCAAAAACCGCACCTACTTAAAGATCAGAGGCAGCCAAACTGGTGATCAGGGAAGTTCGAGTTCCTCCGTTACTCTCTTGTTTCTTGATCGCTAAGATTACCAAGATGTTCAATAAGAATGTAACTAGACTCACGATGCCTGTAATGGCGATTCGAAGCTGAGGATAAATTTTTTTCTTTGAGTCCGAGATGAACAGTAAATTACTTAAACAAAGGAAGACTAGCTCAGAGGAATAATTGTCTACAGTTATAAATTTAGGAAGTAATCAGCCAAACCCATTTACTTGAATCTTTAGTTTTCCATGATTTTGTAAGTTAAGAAAGGCGTGGTATGCGAGACTTCCGCTAAAGCTTAGGAAAGGAATTACTTGCCATCAGGCAATTGTCAGACGTCGGACCATTTAGCACGAAGATTCGAAGAAATACTGTTAATCTAGATATAATCCTAGAACTCCACCGACAGTAAATATATCGATCTTCTTACCAGAAGTGTAGTCTACACGCTCCATACAGTTAAAGTCACCAATTCGCGTGAGCAGTCAGAAACAAATATAGCTACCAGTAATTTTTACCTTTTCGTAAATTCGATTCCTCCTTTTTCCTTTTTTTTTTTTTTAACCTCACTAAATGAAAATGTACATTACTATTATCAAAGAGATCTCCAAATTGACGAGTGTTTGGCGGAAATTGTTGACGAATACTTTAAAGATTTGGAAACTTGGAGAAATTTCAACTTCATCAATTGCCCACAAAATAGAAATTGCTGACTGGATATGCACGACAAAGCGATTACAAAATTACGCGACAAAGCGATAAATAATTTTATTCGAATCTTTTAATTTCTCCTCTCGTCTATGAACGAGAAATCTTGCGGCTTATTTTTCCTGTTCTTTTTTTCCTGGCTGTAAGTCCTTAGTTTCTCTAGAATAAGAAGCAGTCGTAGTTTGGACGTTCATTCAAAAAAATTGGCCCGGAAATTGAGTGCAATCTTGAAGCAAAATGCTATCAGTTCCGTAAATCTTGATGACCAAAGTGATTTCCAGATGATGACAGTGATTTCACCATCCCTCGCGCTCGTTGTTAGGAAGCACGGAGCTCCAAAATATCGCACGGAAATTGTTGACAAATAGTTTTAAGATTTTGAAAATGCATATACCTGAAACTTGGAAAAGTGTCGTGTTCATTTACCTCCTGCAACATCGCAAACCCTAATTTTGTCCGACAGAGTTTCACCTTTTCGCTATATCAAAATCAAGTGTGTTTGCACAATGAACAAGAGAAATTTTGGGGGAAAAAACAATCTGCAATTTTACGCTTAATCAAAACTAACAAAACAAAGTTCTGGAGCGTGATTGGTTATCACCAACCGATTTGAACACTTATAACATACATGAAAAAATAACGCGTGTCTGATTGGCTGAAAACGGGTGCATTTTTCATGTAACACGAGTGCAACGTTGTAACACGAGTGCAAATTACGAATAGCGCGCGCGCTGCCAAATTTCGTCCGTTTTGAGTTTCTGAGATGCGTTTTTCATACAAATTATTAACAAGAAGCAACAAGATTTCTCGTGCAATATGGCTACCTGTGCTTTTCTCCTCGTAGCCTGCAGATAAAATGAAAATTGAGGCTTTCAACATTTTAAAAATTACTTCCATATTGATCAAATTGTACTGAATCTATAGCAACCGTATTATGTGGTTGCTATGAATTCAGAGGCGTATTTTTGACATGCGCAGTACGTTATTCAGCTCGGTGACAGTACAACATTCTTTTTGTTTATATATTAAAATTTCTTGAATTTATCACTTTTGACATTTATTAAAATCCACTTCTTGCCAGCCTCTATTCTTCTCTACGATGTACCAAAGATGCCCGCGGTGGCAAAAGGGGAATTACGAATTTAAGTGACGTTTATAAGCTGCAGCGAAAAACTCGAAAATCATAATGGCGTTTGCTCCACAACCTCGTGGAATTTTAAATAACGGTCATACGACCGATAAAGCTCGAGAAAAACAAATCTGCAGAGTAACGAGCACCGACATAGCTTTCTGTTTCGCAGAATTTCTCACTACGTTAGAAGGAAACTCTGCACACGCTGGTTCTACAGACTTGGACTGTATACTATCGGTTAACTTGACTTTATTCTTCACAATCCAACATTACACGTTCTGTTTTTCGACCTAACTCAATCCCATCTTTTTTGAGTTACAAAAATGCTATATTTTATTAGCTACGGATACACACACCCAGATACGTAAGTCCGGAGTGGTTAGATAATTTAAGCTAGCTTGACAAAGTTCCAGTTTTGTTTTACACATTCTTCAATTATTCGTGGCCACTAATTTCCTGTTACATCGGCTTGCTCGACAATCGTAGTGTTGATCTACGCATGCGGTTTTACTAGCGACTATTTGATTAAATACATCATTGTTTAGTTTGTGAAGGCTCGATCACACGATGCCGGTTAATACTTCCTTTGACATTCCACAAATCAATGTTAGCGACAAGAAATAATAACTTACTTAATCAACTACTAAATATACCGGAACAGGAAAACTTTCTTATGAACACGTGCAAACCTTTCACGACATTCTGTGTCATCCGAGGGAAGCTGGAAAACATTAAAAAAATTACATGTACAACTAGAGATGATTTTAAAAATACACTCCTTTAATATGAACGCGGAATTAACCCTTTCATTTCCAATATCTCAATAGTAACTCTCCCTATTGTTGGTCGTACATTTCTAATAATCTAAGTTCGGAGAATTTGATGTTGTATCACATGAAAATGACTGAACGAGATTTTTTTTCTATTCTCATCACTTGCTTGCTTAACATTATATTGATTTTGTAAGGAGAAATTATGTCTTGGTCACTTCTAGGGGTGCATGAAAGGGTTAACAGCCAAATGATTCAACGCAACAGGACTCTAACTTGGGCCGAACTTCGATTATTTTTTCTGTTTTAACTGATCAGCTCCATTTATTCCTTTGTCTGGCCTTTTGCATTACATGTACGTATGTTTTGAAAGGAAATTTTTATTTCAGTTTCTTACCTATAGTTTCATCAGTCATTGCATAAAAACAGTACGGTATGTTTCTGTCTCCAAAGATATGGGATTTCCTTACCTGATGGTTCTATATGGCGAGTGATAACTAGGTCATCGATATCGGATTTAATTATTCGTGAGGGGAACGTTTTGGACAAGCTTGAAGGTAAGTACTGCATCAAATTCTTACAATCGACAAACATGAAAATGTTTGACAACCAGAGACCATAAGCAGCTAAGCAGAAAAATCACGATTCAGGAGTTGGAACTTAAAGATAATTATACAAAGTCTCTGCATACTCGGTTTATAATTTAATCCGAATACGAAGCTTTAGCCGAGTTCTTTGTTAATGGACGGTTCTCGAACTACCACAGACAATTCTAAATACTGTCCGCATTACTATACTGGAAGCCCAAGGTTTGTGATTGAATTAGTGGACAAAAACGGACCAAACCTGAGAAGCACAGAAAGAAAATTGTTTCGTTTGGTATCCTGTTTTATTCTGAGCAGAGTTATCAACGACAAAACATTTTGTAGGCAATTATCACTTATTTGGGGTTCACAAATTACCGTCAACAATTTGCTAGACTGGTGTCACCTGATATGAAACCATGATGTCTATTTTGATCACGCATTCGCGAAAGTGCATGTAGCCGATTGAAAGACTTAGGCCCAGTCAGAAGTCGTGCTT